GGTGATAGAATTTTACAGGTGCCACAAAACACCACGCAAATTCACAGTATCATTTCTATAGTATTACTTTGTCAGCTTAAGGCTGTAAAATATCCTTTTACTTAGGCTGCGTTATTCATTTACGTTTTAAAGTCTTTTCTCAAATCTCTCCATTAAACTTTATCTCTCAGTATTCAACATTGTCATTTTGATTCCATCTATTGTGTATGCGTCTTTTCTCGTGCTCATTGTTTAATATTTAAATTACAAAAAATTACTAGTCTCACATGTAAATGTTGCTATTTATAAACATGTTTGCTTATTTTCGTCACTCATGGCAAAGGAAATGGAATAGGAATAAAAAAGCTTTGATGAAGATTTAGCAAGATATGGACCGCAGTCTACGACCGTTAGTAAAATCGGTTATAAATACAGGTTCGTAAATATATAAACGACAGCGCAGAATACATTTAAATAAAAACTATTTGATCTGACTTTTCAGTTAGAAATTTTCATTAAAGAAATTGATGAATCACCCAAAATTCTATTTCATTTGAAATTACCAATATTGTTCAATAATCTATTTTAGATGAGTAAAAGATCGTTAAAGTAAGACTTATTGTTTATTAGTGTGTAAAAGTTTTTACCATTTAAGTGCGAAACTGTCAGTATTTTGTTTTTATTTTTATTAATGTTTTGCATGCGAAATTTTCTTTCTCAACCCTCACTGACTCGGGCTGTCCTTTTCTCATCTGTACTTATACACCGTTAGATATAACCATTTTTGAGTTTGCCGTTGCCTTCAGAACTTATGGAGGCTGGTGAATGTTGCTCCTCTTTGTTGAATTATTTCAGCACTCATATTTTAAACAAAATGTATGTTTTTTTAGTCAAGGAATGGTTTCAGAAAAAAAGAATCAGAGGGATAGAATAAGATGCATTCAACAAATACACCCATGTTACCACCAAAGATTCAAAGACCACAGGTGCTTCTAATCTTTTACTTACATTATGTCTAAAACCGCCATTTTTTTAATTATTTCTTAAATGGATCCTTTAGTAGGAGCTAGTTTTAATTGCATTGATTTGTTACAAGTCTCCCTTTTTGTACTCTAAAACTTTTTTTTGTTCCATGACATTGATTCTGATTACATAAAATATTCATGTATGCTAAATAACTGAGAATTATATTTTATAACTCTTTTGAGAAGCAACCATAACATAATGGAAACAACACAATTGTACTGTTTAAAGTTTATTAAATATCCTATATGTTGTAATTTAGGATGTGACAACACTTAAGTGAAATTTTATATATGTATATAATTATTCTTCTAAAACAATTTCTAAACATCCTAGAATATGTACTGCAAATGTTAAATCCGCTTATAAGTATTCATTTAAATATATGCATTCATTTCTTATTGAAAATTTTGGCTTAGACTGTGTCGAAAATAAATTTCTTGTTATCTCCCTTTTTTTAACATGAAATGTAACTTTGGTAATATCTTTTAAAACAATGCTTTTTGGAACTTACAATATTGATAAATCTTCATTTGTGCATCATATATATGATATAAAACCATAAAAAATGAGTTACAGGATCTTTAAAAAGATTCAAGAGATACAACTTTATACCATTTAAGCTCCATAAAAAATCGGAGCGAAAGAATACAATGTACTGTCAATAAACATACACTTTATTACTTTTATTGCAGGCCCAACTAAATGCAAAACAGTCAGGTAGGCAATTTCCGCAGTAAAATAATACGTGAACGTTGATAAAAAAAATCTTTATGATTAATCAATGAATTAACTCGAAATCGAGAATATTTTGATAAGGATGTATTAAATATCCAGGCCATGGTCTGTAAGGTGACGTTTTGAATTGGTTAATGAATACATACAGACTTAAAATATGGTAAGATAAAATGTTAAATTAATTTTCCAGCAAAACTCCTAGATCTCAGACTGCATAGAATACTCTTGAAAAATCAGGTCTTTCTGCTATTTCCAACTTCAGTCGGTACGATCTCTTATTGCTCCAGAAGATACACTCCTCCCTCGTATACAAAGAAACCGTTTAAATAGTATATTTTATTCTTTAAAGATTAAAAACTTTATACGTGTATTTAGATGAACGGATTAACAACATATAAATTCCATGAGTATCCCGTGTTTGATTTAAGTCCTATTCATATGAGAAACTAATTATAATACGCACATAAAATATATCTTACGATAAAGCGCAGAATTAATACTATCTACGAACGGCTTGTAATAAATGATATCCGATGTCGACCAGGACAAGTATACTGCCCTACAAAATGCATATGACACCTGCTTGAACTGCAATTGTTGTGTATGTAATATATATATAACATATATATAAATCATATGAACTAAAATTCCCAAATGAAAAGCTTAAAACATGGGAACATGTTATACAACTTACATCGGATTATGGTCAAATATCTTTTTTTTTAATTTTTATTAATAAAACTTAATATTTTTTTTGTATCTTTGCCCCCCGCCCAAAGGAAAAATTTATATTAGAGGGAAAATTTTAAAAACCTTTTGCGGCACCCCAATCGGGTAGGCATAAAACATGGTCCCAAATATAATAAACGGCGGATATAAAATATTTTGTTAGAACCCACTTAGATTCAACGAATAAATCATAATTAACATATGCGTAATGGGGTGTTCACAAGTCCTGGGTGAACCTGATTCCGTGGGCTGATAAACGTGTATAAAAGTGTTCTTATTCAAAATGTTACCCGTAATGAACAATACACAAAAATATCTCTAACTAACAATTAACAACAATATGAAGAAACATCTGAAATTGATTATCATTTTCAAAAATTGTGTGTCAAATACATAGATTTCATTTTATTTGTTCACTTCTGACCAAGACTAAGCGCTTAAAAATCATTGGAATCAAATGCATATACGAACAAATTTTTCAAAAGAAATCATGGTATTTTGAAAGAAACCTAGATACACTATTGAGGAAGGCAGTAATGTTGTAAGTCTGCAGATACGGATGAATTGTTCCGCTGGTGTTATTTGATAAAAGCATGCTGTTGCTTATTTCTTAAATGGGGAGTTGCACAAAATATTTTTAAACACTGTAAACTTCTATCAAAAACAAGTAATAACATTATCAATAGCATTATTCCGCGAGGGTAGGTGTCTATGTTTTGTGTTTTCGTTCCAGACATGTGTTCGTGCGAATTCTCATGGTTTCCTTAATTAATAAACATGTAGGTATATTAATGGTGTATTGATGTCTCAAACAAATAATAGATGTAAGAAAACGTGCAGCTTTGGTAGACACGAGATAGTCCGATGTTTGAATTTAAGAAGGAAGACAGAACATACTCAAAATTGCACAATAAGATGTTTGAATATTTTCACTTTCAACACTGTTCTTCATAAAAACACTAAATATCATTAATAGTTTTCAGTACACAGGTTATTTCTTACATTCCGGCAAGTGAATTTTGATTGTATCACATACTCGTTTGTTAATTAAATCGGATTAACATGAATCTTTCTATATTTTCTCGTTTTTTCTGTTTACAATAAAATCTGTAGATTTAAATGAACGAGTTAACCTGTGTGTAAGACCATAAAGTTATACATTTATAATAAGAAAGGAAAAATGTATCGTACTTGTAGAGTAGAGGATCCTGACAAAGAAACAACTGAATTCAATACAAGTACATTAAATATTGTTTCGCAAAAAGGCTTTTAATGAGATAATCTGGGTAGAATTTCGGTTTTTTAGAGTTTATTTGGATTGACAGACAGAATGCGTATAAACATCTGTAACGGCTGCTATATGCCTCCAGAAAGATCAATATATTTCAAGGAAATCATAAGAAAAAAATATGTTAAGATTTTTAAGAAAGGAAAACGATTCGAAATTCAATTAAAATTTTACACGTTATTGTGCGCTATACGACTTATTGGACGTATTTATTATCATTTCTTATAATGCGGGACTAACGCAGAGCTACTTTTTAAATATTTTGACAAGAATTTGATAACTTACGCGGAATGCATGTGTTAAGTATTTTCTTTGCGCATTTAGCAATAATTTACGTTTGAATTTTTTTATTCTTCAAAATATTCAGGAAAATAAGCATGAATCTGAACTCTGCTGCTACATGTATATTTCTTGTTTTCTCTACTTCTACTAATGGTAGTACTATACACTTTAGACGTTCACATTAGTCATTAAAATGCAAAGCATCAAGAATTATTTGTCTGGTGAACACATATGTGACTAGCCATTCTGTTAAACGGTTTTCTATGAAATAACGAGTGGAAGTAAAAAAGTTTCACAAAAATGTTGTATGGTAATTATCTATAGATAATGTTTTAGTACCTGATATTATAATAATGACATTTGAAGAACATTAAACATTAACACTTTAACGCACACTATATGTATCGCCTGTACAATACGAAAAGCCATATCCAGATTATGCTCATAAAGAATATTTATTTATTAGATTTTGTTGACAAAAGTAAAACAACAGAAAAATATCAGAGAAGAGTTAAAAGTACATACAGGTAAGAAAATAAATTATGTACACTTAATTTCTAAACATTTTTGGAATTAAGTTATGACATTTATCTTCTACTGAAACAGGTTAAAAAAGATATACCTTTGACATTAGATTTACATATCGACTAAATTGACACTCTGCACTTTTAGTATATATTCTAGTATTCTTTTCATATTCTATTGTTTTCTATTTCTTTATGACGTACTTATTTTTTATTTTCTTATGGCAATACCGACAGAGTTTAATTGAAACGTATTGTAAATTACAAAAGAAGAAAACTGTGGTAAAATGGCAAATAATCTTACTAAGTTATCAAATATAAAGAATTCTTAATTGACTTGGAAACTATCTTTGACCGAGGCCGATTACCTTATAGTAAATGCAATAAAACAATCAGTAAATGTACATTATTGAATGTCTTACAATATTTTGAATCAGAAAGACTTGGATCGATTGAAAGAACAGTGTCACAGACAAGACAAGTTACAGATCAAACGCACGAACTGCAACGACATATGTACGACAGGTTGCAAAGCATTGGACAAAGTTTATACGTACAAGAGGGAGGACAGGTAAGGAGAAAAATGATAGAATGATGACTAGAATGAAAATCTTTTACATTTTATATATACTTAATGTAAAAAAATGTATAAAGTTTTACAGTTTTTGCTTAGGTTGGGATGAACAAAATAAGCCTATTGTTTTACTTTGTATATAATTGTTGTTCCTTTGCTTAGGTTAATTGGACTGGTAAAGCAAGTTTTGTAATAAAATATGATACATATTTTAAAGATACTATTTAAATTTTCATAGTCTTTTTAAGATATACTCGAACCTCCATCTGGTATTGCAAGTTTTGTGAATACTTTTGTTATTTTCGTTCATGAAAGGTGTCTTAACTTTTCTTTTCAGTTATTGCTTTTGAATAACGGTAAGAATTATCACTGTTTCCACTCTTAAAATCATATAACATTTTTTCTGTCTTAAAGTGACTCATTAAATTATCTGCCTTTGATTAAAGTCTTACTCAAAATGGAGAGGACGGATACACATGTATGATAAAGCAAATGCTCATTGTTCCTTGTGTTTCTTACGTAAAACATGGCCAGTTACAAACAGAGATGAAGTTCATAAAACTTTCAGAATGTTTTGTACTCACACCAAAAGGTAGTGTTAAGTTGTTTTTGCCAGCGTTGTTTTTTCCACATGTGTCCATCTACTAATCCAATCGGCTTTAAGCGACAATACGATCTTTAGACTCGAAGTCCGAGGATAACAATCACAATAAAAATCAACTAATGCTTGGTAATATTAAGGGTGTAGTATGTTAACCATACTGTTATCTTAGAGCAGACTATAGCTAGTCTATACAGGTATGTCGTCTGGAATTATGCGTCTGTCGTTGATCAGCTACACTAAGTAAGATCGCTTGATCATATAACTATATTACTAGTCTTGTAAATAAGCTGTAGATATGTTTATCGGACTTTGTTATTATACTTGATATTAGTATATAGATACAACGATACAACATGGTGTCAAACATTTTGTGAATTAAATAATTATCATTAAACAACGTGTTTAAAGTGTATTACATATTTATAAATAATGATATGTCAAGAATAACATCGCCTAGAATGAACTGGGATTTTTCAAAACTGCCTGAAATATGGGACAGATTTAACAGGCATGTCGAATTATTTTCAACGGACCGTTAAAAAGAAAAGAAGAATGTGAAAACATTACGTATCTCCTAATATGGGTAGACGAGAAATGGAAAGACATCCAACAGGAATGTAACTTATCCACAGACAAAAAATGAAAAAAAAGCAATTCATTTTGTTAAATTCAAAGAACAAGTACAGCCCAATTAAATCCCGTATTTGTCATATATAACGATTCATAAATGAAACACAAAGATCGGACTCAATCGATAAATTAGTCACACGTTTAAGGCTCCGTGCTAAAGATTGCAGATACGGCGACAAAAAAGACAAATTAATTCTTGACCGCATGGTTTGCACAAACAATTAAAGAATTCGTGAGAAGGGAGAAAATCTTTCTCTAAACAAAATCGTTCAAATTGCTCAAAATTTCGAATACTGTCAGTAAATGGCGGCAGGGAGCACTCACAATCCCACGCCGTAATGTAGACGCAAAACGGAGAAGACGCCAAGAACCGCATACGCACCATTGGAGAGAACATATAGCTCTACCTAAAAGACAGCACTGTTTATCCCGCATTTGACAAAAACATGCTTAAAATGCAAAAAATGCTTATCATTTAAAACGTGCGTGACACTGAACAAAGTTATTTTCAAGATTAAAGTGATGTGGGACCAAGTTATAATCATTTTTAGGAGAGATCGCATTACTTCATTGATACGGTAAGCGCTTCATTTTCACCACACAAATCTCCAGACCGTGCTTTAGTTTCCCTCCAAATTGGCCCAGAAAAACTACGTTTAACCGTCAAAATTGATACTGGAAGCGTAAGAACATAATCGGGCGCAAAATTTATGCTAAGCTAGGACTGAAGTACCCACTTGAGCCCCTGGACAGTAAACTTACTTCATATTCACGGGGTCTCATTAAAGTCTATGGAAAGGTCACGTTGTAGTGTACCTACAGAGATTCCAACATCAATACACCTTTCTATTTAGTAGAAACTTCTGCCTATTCCCTTATAGGTTTAAAGTCAAGTCTCGACCTAGGAGTATTAAACCTTAGATACTCAGTAGTTAAATCTCCATTACACAATATCGTGCTCATGACCAAACAAATAGTCATGTCTGACTATGGGGATTTATTCAAAGGTATTGGTAAGCTACCTGGTAAATGTAAGTTGCATTAAAAACGATTTGCAAAGAACCAGAGGCACTGAAAAATAGGCTTAAGCAAGAACTTTCACGTATGGAAAGTGATTAATAATCGGCAAGGTAACACAACCCACATACTGGGTAAATTCTATCATGATTGTTGAAAAACCGAAAACTTGTGGCTAATTAGGAAATATGCATAGACTCGAAAGCGTTAAATGACGCAATCTTCAGGCCCTATTATCCCGTGCCTACCATAAATGTACCATAGGTGTGCCTTTAAGTCAATTTTTTGGACACATCATGGCTTACAGTCTGGCCCATTCAAAATTGTAGCTTTCACGAGGCTCGAAATCCCAAACACGTGTGCTAACTTGAAACGTTTCTAGGGATGGTAAATTATATCGCAAAATTCGCGCCACCTTAGTTGAGGTCATTTCCCCTCTGTGTAGCCTAATGCAAAAGGATTTTGACTTCACATGGGAAATTTCCCATATTCAAGCATTTATAGAGGTCAAAAATATCATTATGAATGCCCCAGTTCTTAGTTACTTCGGCTCTGACAAACAACTTGTCCTTGAATGCGATTCAAGTCAAAATGGGATTGCTTGTTGTCTTATGCAATAAGGCGGACCAATTGCATACACATAAAAAGGTTTCATTGATAAAGAAAAACTGTATGTGCAAATTGAGACAGACATGTTAGCCATTGTTTTGGCTGTAAGCGATTCCATCAATTTACATATGGAAGACCCATAATTGTTAAAAGTGGTCATAAACCGAGTCAATTATGAAAAAAACTTTCGGCGGTCCTGCAGACTTCAGAGAATGCTGCTGCAGTGACAAAAGTACAAAGTAACGGTAGAATGTTGGCGTAAGAATATACCAGTTAGCATTTTTTATCGCAAAGGTCTGTACCTGAAACAATGCCTACATTGATTGAAGGTCTCGATTTGAATGTACACTCAATTAAGAAACAGCTGTTTGTTACTGATAGACGTTTAAATATCAAAAGACAAGCCATTACAGGAGATAAATCAAAGCAGATTTTCAAACAAACAAGGTTGGCTTGAAATGAGACACAGTTCATCCCAAAAATAACCAATTCTGGAATCATCGGGACGAATTATCAGAGGAAGATTGGTCAAAAGGTCATAATAGAGCATAACCTTCGCATTAAAATGCTGACGCTGGTTTACACAGGTCACTTTAGCGTAACAAAAATTATTGAACGCGCGAAAGATAATATGTTTTGGCCAGGAATAGCAAAACAATTTAAAGATTATGTTTTGAAATGCTCAATTCGTCTAAGACACAGATATTCAAACAAAAATTAGCTTCTGCTTCTGCATTAATTTCCACGCCGACCCTTTGAAAAATATGGACTGATATTTTCCAGTTTGATGGGAAGCAATATCTTGTCACAATCCATTATTACAGTCCATCTTTTGAAATAGATTCATTACCTGATACAAGGTCAGGCACAGATATCCAAAAACTGAGAGTACAAGGTCACGTTATGGTATATGCGATGTTTTAATCAGCGCGATGGTCCTCAATTTTCCACGCAAGAATTTGAAGATTTCTCGAGCGAGTTGAAATTTTAGCATAAAACATCTTCTCCATATTTCCAAGATCAAATGGTATGGCTGAGAAAGCTGTTACAATTGCTCAAAGGTTACTTGATAAAGCAAAAGAAAATGGCCACAATCCGTATACAGCCTTGCTTGCATACCGAATTACCCCGCTGTGGTTTTTCAACAGCACAGCTACTTAAAGGTCGTAGAACTAAGTCAATTCTCCCAATCACACACAAAAGTTGTTTCAACCTAAAACTATTTCCTCTTCCTTCATCATGAAAAATAACGATAGGTCAAAGTTTACGCAATAGAAAATCGCGACAAAACCGCTAAGCCCCTATGTCCCTTTATATAAATGACTTAGTTAGAATTCGTTTAGGAAAAAATTGGCAACCAGCCAAAATCATCGATAAACATGTTAACAGGTCATTTTCTGTTGTCACACAAAACGGAACTGTATATCGAAGTAACAGGCAACATCTTTCTTAAAGCAGAAGAAAATTTCTTTGATCTGATGCAACTCAGTATTTTTTTCTGATTCTGATGTAAGTAATAAGCAGACACGTGTAAACGTTCAAGGTCAGGTTATCCGCAATACTGAAGGCACTTATATAACACAGTCATGGAGAGTGGTGAAAAGCAATCAGCGCAAAAACAAGTACTCATAAATAAACATCATAAACTGATCATTTTAATTTTTACACTACTTGTTGTACCTAAATGAAAATATAATATTTTGATATGTTCTATAAATCTAATAGACTGACAGGGTCTATTAAATATTATTTACACGCTTACTATGAAACGTTTCTTTTTTTTTTGATCAATGAAAACCTAACTATTAATAATTAAAATAACATATATCATGCTCTAGATTACCTTTCCATTTTTTGCAATCTTTATAAACACAATGTTAAATCAGTTTAAATCTACTAAGTCTTTATTAAAGTTTATTTTTAATGATGTAACAATTGTTTATTCTTGCAATTAAAAAATCTGTAATATTTTTGAAAATTTGTATATTGTATGAAATGTATTTTTGTACGAACTGGATAATAAAAAATAATATAATAATAAATCTAATAGATGTTATTCATTTCTAAACGTACGATGTTAATTTACTTAATGAAAAAATGTTTCTTGTTTTAGACCTTGTTACAATTATGAATTGATTTCTGATTATACTATAATATTATTTTTTGAATGCTTAAAGAAGGGAGGGGTTGTATGTTTACCATACTGTTATCTTAGAACTTACATACTATAGATAGTCTATATATGCAACCTGGCTGAAATTATCCGTCAGTCGTTGACCAGCTACTCATGTAGTAAGATCGCTTGATCATATAAATGAATTACTAGTCTTGTAGATAAACTGTAAATATGTATATCGGACTTTGTTATTATACTTGACATTATTCTAAATTAAAGTATATGTCACAAAGATACAACGATACAACAAAAGGTTGTTATAAAATTAAGTAACAATAGTCTACGAACGTGACGATAACATGCTATAGTAGTGCAAGAAAATAAATACTCAATAGCGAACAAAACATGAGTCTTTGATTTCCATAGCGTTTTGTATGCCAGTATTCTATATAAAGCATTACAGATGCGAACCTTCCAAACTGATGTCACCGAAAGATTTGAAACAGTAGAAAGAACAGTGACAGAGACAAGACAAAACATGGACGAACGATTTGACAGGATTGAACAGAGCTTACAAGAATTGCATGTGAGTATAACATTTAATAAATAAAAAAACACTTTTATATGTTACAATGCTAAAGGTCACATTTAACTGAACAATGTTTCACAGAAGTTGTGAACAAAAAGCTTTATTACTAGTTATAACAAATTTACAGTAACACTTAACGTACGTGTTGTAATTAATGAAACCTTAATTGGTTTTTCTTTTTTCAGCCCCAAACAGAGTTAATTGTAGGTAAGAACTTATGTCATCTTATTTGCTTATTATTGAAAGTGATTCATTATATACCTTACAATATCTACATTTCTCATTTTCTAAATTAAAGTATATGTTTAAAATCTATCAACCATGCGAAAAAATTTATTGAAAATATTTTTATAATTTTCGATATTCATGAAATGTTTTCAAAGCAACATGTGTCAATGTATAATTCTTAGTAATTAACAAACATAAACAAATGTTTGATGTTCACAGATCGTGTTGTGGAAACGCTATTGCAAAATGAACAATTAAGAGTCAGAATACAACCTAACGAAGAATTAATGAAATGTATAACAGTTCAAGAACATGACACAATTCCTATTTGGACACTTGGGCACAACAGAGTGCATAAATGTGAAAGGTGTAACTGCATGATGCGATGTAATTGCATTTGCCATTCTGAAAACCAGTGGTGTAACTATGACAAACGGAGAGATAAAGAAAGTAAAATGCATTCTAACATAAGGAGAAGTACGTATTATGGGAAAAGAATATTTAAACTTATACAAGTTCTCGCAGTGTCAATCTTATTTTTTTTGTAGGTAGTTTTGTATGAACCTGTACATATAATTGTACCTTTAACTATAGATAAAAAAAATTGTTGTTTAATCAAACCTGTTCAGAGTTTACACATTTATTATTTACAATGGTCGAAAATTGACAAAGGCAACATTAAGATACATATTTAGCAGTTTGCGTTATTTGATACTGTATTTAGATACGGTTACATATGAGCATCAAATTAATTTGATTTACACCTTACCTCAAAATGAATGATTAACGTCAGATCGTTTACAAAGAATTAACCGAGTAATGTTTTTTTTTTTAATTTCTTTGCATGTCTTTGATACTTAGTTCTTGATCTGGTGCTTATATACCTTGATTTTTTTTTACTACAACATTTTTTAGGTAGATGTTGATTGGTTGGCTTTATTTTTTTTTGTTGTTTTGTTTTTTTATTTTAAATTATTGTTTTAGATAAAGAGTCGTCCTATTTGCTCAACATCCAGGAAAATAAACAGGTACTCGGGGCTTCTGGGGGTGATCCTGATGAAAGTCCCAGTGATGATCCGTCCAGTGATGAAGATGACAATTATGGTCACAATAAGGGGAACTATGTGAAAAAGAAAAAAGACAAAAGGAAAACATGGATGATAGGTATGATGATTTTCACAATTAGTTCAACATGAAAATAGTTTTCCTCGGTTATGTAATAATCAAAATAATCCATTATAACTTGCATATTATTAAAACTTGACAAATATAATGAAATATGGTCAACCCCTTGAACAGTCAGTATATATAATGTAACCACACAAACATGTTATACACATAATGCTACAAAGCATATGGAGCAATAGCTACAGAGTGGCTGCAAGGAATCATGTAAAACAAAATAGAGTCTATACCACATAGTGTGAATTAACATTAATACAGTACATTTACATTAATATTAAATACTAAGTTCATCTTATGCCTCTTGATAAGAACGCAATACCTGTCTAAAATATACGCATATTATATGCTTATTTATACAGATTACTGAAGGTCGGTAGTTCTACTCGTATGCCAGTCCGAGTCTGAAATAGTGCACAAAGGGGGGCACCTTAGGCCCCCTGTACTAAAAAAAACCTTTACAGTATCATTGTGACAACAACAAAATAAACAAGCCATGAATTTCGGGACAGTGGAGTACTATTTTAAATAAAATAAAAAGAATAAATTTGTCCTTGCAATTTTATGCAATATTATTTTTAAAGAAATAAAGTCAAGTGAAATAGTTGATATGTTAGACTCTTTAGCTTCCGCTTTTTCACATCAATTTTGTGATATATGATAAATTGCTTATTACGCTACAGATGCAGATGCATGGCTCAAGTGTATCAAGGAAGGAGGCGATTTTGAACATCAGGCGGAAAGTTTATTGAGTGAAAGCAAGTTGCCAGAAAAATTTGCGCTGGACGCGATAAGATTAAAGTACGCACATTTTTCCTCAATTATTTCTAAAATTTGCGATAAAATATGTGTTTATATCAAGGAAAAGTCAGAAACGATTGCACATGTTTGGGCTGCTACAATTTATTCAAAGGATTCCTTGCCTAAAGATAATGACATTGTTTTCGTTGTCCTGACAACAGATATAACAGTTAAAATAAACGAAGAAAATTTTGTAATATATCAAAGACATTTCTTGCAAGTCGATGATACCGACCTGAACAAAGAAATAGAAATAATGGAATACAATAATCTGCCAACTTCTGAAGAAATTGATAAACTTGAGAAATGTTTGAAACAAAATGCAAAATCGTTGATGAATAACCATAGCAACCTTACTAGGGTGACAGCAAGTTGGTTCAGAACAGATCGTAATGATACTGAACACCTATCATTAAGAAAGGAATTGTGTATTGCACTCTTTGTCCACATTAAAGGATATATACCAGTGGGTGAGAAATACTTCCCAACCGAAATCGGAGGGTTTCCAGTGGTTGTCCGAGAGGGCATTTTTACACTTTGTAAGGGTCCAAATGAGTATCATGAGAATGTGAAAATGGGTTGTGCAATCGGTGCAGAAATGGTTGGTACTCTTGGAGCATTTATAGAATTTGAAAATGATAATGATTTATATGGGCTTACGTGTGCACATGTTGTATTTGGTCATGATAAACTTAAGGCTATACTTCAAAAGGGAATATGTGTATTTGACGATGGTATTGTTGTTTGTCAACCTGCCAATACAAATTATAAACCTCTTGGCAAAACAGTGGCGGCAGTTTATAAAAGTGGAGGAAATGGAATATCAGGAATGGAGTTTGCATTAATAAGAATTCACCAGAGTAGATGGCCTACTGAAGGCACATTCCCCGATGACTCTGATTATTTGTCAGCAGGTACTTTTGAAAACAATACTTTGGCATAGTAGTTCTTTTAATGTAAGCTGATTTAGCTTTTCTTTTCAAACTTTAATATTATGACAATCTGACCTTACTATTTGACACAAAATATGTAGTATTGATTTTCAGAGACATGGTATGTCTGATTTATGAGGTTTTGACCTATATGAAAAGTTGTAATCCACCTGGTATGTTACTGTTGACCAAGCAGGGTCAGTACATAAATAACACATAGGCTTGTAACAGTAAAATGTCATCCAAGTAAAATACTGTTATTTTTACGAGGGATGATATTTTTACTTTAACGCAGAACCCTTTGTGTTATTTATTTTATTACCCTGAACATAAGCTGTAATCATTTCAAATTTTCAACTAAATTTAACTGTACAAGATTGAACCAAGAGTAACAACTATCCTAACCTTTAACTTGAGAACTTATTTTTCTTTTATTTTCAAAGCAAATGTTGATATCTACCAGACATAAACATTCTATTAGCTGTGTTTCATACTTTCATTTAGAATCAAAACACAAACCCATTTATATGGCTATGATCTGTAAAATCCGATCCTGTCTAGAATATTAATCACATGGTTTTTGGCCATGTTCACTCACGGTGATATCCTAAAACTGTTTATTTCACGGATTAAACTTGTTAAATAATCCTTTCTTACTGTATGCCTAGTCATTCTATAGGCACATGGTTTCGGGCTAAAACCCTTATGATAGGATTGTCGACTTATTAAATGTAACGATTTTTAACGTAGATGTGTTTTTTTTCTAAAACCGGCATTTTTCCAATGTTAGTAACATTGGAGAAAATAACGAATTTAGAAAAGAGACATATACGTGTAAAAAAATCTTTAGATTCAATTATATTTGAGTTTTACAAAACTCTCATGAGGGTTTTTATCCTGAAACTAAGTTCACATGCAATAACTTCCGCTGAAAACAGATGTTTACTTATTGACTATTCAACTAAAAAATATTTAGCCAATTACTTCATGAGCATTTGTTGAAAAATGGCTGTTTTCATTGAACACCTCCTGTTACAAGTTCAAATTGCTATGAAACTATTAAAAAGGCTTCAATACTGTTCACAAATGTTGACTGCACTATAGCCTTTGTAACGGCATACTCAATCTTAAATATCCTGTTACCATGACAACAAAGGGACATCTCAAGTGCCAAAAATCTCTATTTTGCGTTGACTTTTCATCAAAACTGATTTAAAAGTGCTGCAACTTCTGAATGGCAGAGGCTTTTCAGCGTTGGTTGCACCTTTCCTATACGTTGATCTGAGGCCATTTTTAGCCTGTCACAAGTCCAAAATTTTCTTGGAGAAGAGGGGGTCTGCTGACCCCCTTGAAACCCCAAAGCAAAAGGGGACACATACACAGATCATTCTCTGCTGAAAACAGGTAGGCGACATACACCAATCTAGTAAATGTTCATTCTACTGATCAAAGGCGGTATGTCGAGTGAAAAGAGTGAAAAAGAAGAATACCACGGAACACTAGACTGTTTTAACTATGTATTTTTAATAATTTGTCCATTTTTCAATTACCACAACTCCACAATAAGCTACACAAAATCGTAAAATTTCCCCGCACCCACAACCTCGGGGTGTTCTTTGGGTCAAAATGAACCAGTGGTTTGATTATGTACGCATCATACATTTTACATTTACTGATTTTTTTATCAAATATATATAGAAATTATGAGAATGCTCCCGCTCCCTTCAACCCCCCCCCATACAGAAGTTGACACATCCCTCCTCTGGCACCTCCTTGATGTACTTTTTTGATAGTGACTGCGCCGTAAAGTGATCACCTTTTAAACAACCTTTCTCAAACGAAAAACAGTGTTTGGGGCTTACATAGAACTTTTTTTCACTATTTGAGGCCTCAAAAGAGAGAGTAAAAAGCCGTCAAAACACGCCTATATGATGTAAAAGGTTAACAAAAAATGATGAGAAATCAATTTCAACAATTTGAACAATATTGGTAGATATCAACCAGACAATACCATATGCAAAATATTTATAATTTAGGCCTTGTATTTCTAAAAAAGAAAGCTTTTTTTTTAATTTTCTTCTTATAATTCCTTTTGGTTACCTTGGCAACCAGATTGCTCATGTAAACTAAATCTTTGATTAATTTCTAAAGTTCTTAACCTAAGGAACAACCCTGGCAAGGTTTTTGAAATTGGACGAGTGGTTTTTAAGGAGAAAATGTTTAAGTTTACATAATTTATACACACATACACGAACACACACGTGGGCGGACGCACGCACAGGCGCGAACACAAACGCGCATAGACATGTGCGGTGCTATTAAAAGTAATATTACTTATCTTATACAGTGCTTTAGAAGGTATCGGTGCTTTAAACAAACTGAAATGTGATAGGAAAAATCAATACCAAAGAAACCGAAGAAGTCTGTATTTATGAATTCAAAATGCAATTTTGAAATTTTATTTCTATTTGTCCGAAGACAATATATAAATGAGAAAATGTAAAATGTACGATGTGTACATAATCAAATAGAGCGAAATAAGAATCCCCAAAGAAAGCCCAACACGGCAAAATTGAAAATGTTGCAGGCTCGGTTTGATTGAGCCTGTTCATGGACGGTACTGTCAAGTTCAAACTACCGTCCACGCCCCCAAGCACCGGCTTAAGCAGAATTCAACATCTAATATGAAATGGTAAAATTAAAAATTTGGAAACATCCGCAGATGTGTTCATATGGCGGTTATCATGGAACTTTCAATGTGACACGTTAATGCCATTCCATGAAAAGCGGCACATGGTCCTCAACCACTGCTTCATTTTAGCCCACTGAGCATGCCGAGTTGGTGGGTGCGGGGAAAGATCGCGATTTTATGTTGCTTACGTGATTATGAAAAAAATAGCAAATTCCTTTAAAAAATCACAGTTAAATTCGTGATAAACCACTTTGCACTTTTTACATTCCACCTTTGATCAGTAGAATGAACAATAACTGGATTGGTGTATGTCGCCTACTTGTTTTCAACAGAGAATGACCTGAACATGTGCAAAGTAGGTACCGTTTTAGTGGATTTTGCAAAGAGGGTACCGATATGCACCATGACTATAATTGTTTTTTATCGTCTCTTATGTTAGATTAAGATGGAATAAGAGAAATTGATATTCTTAACTGATAAAAACCTATAAGTTATTGCTGTTGTTGTTGTATTATATCAGTGATACAAAAGATTAACATTTTTCAAACAAGACAGTAAACTTATTTTTTTTATGTTTGTATCAAGAATACAATAGATTTAATAATGATATTGAAGTTTAAGAGAATTTTTGAAATGTTGTCAATTATACATTTATAACCTTAGCCATGCGATCAATACTCTCATTGCAGGATTTGGACCAGACACGCCTTTTGAATTTGCTTCCGGAAATACTTTGAACACAAGACGTCTCCCTTTTCCCTTAGTGTATAAATACGGTTGTGAAAGCAAACTCACACAAGGAGTGTGTCGAGTAAATGGTTCATCGGTTCGAACATTGAAATTTCAAGACAACATTCTTGATACTGAATTAGTTTTTGCATGATCAGATCGAAATAATGAATATAGAATCGCAGTTTGCTTTAAAGGGGGATTCAGGTGCACTTGTTTTTATAAAAGATGAAAACAAAGAGCTTTTCTGCGTTTGGAATGTTTGAAGGAAAGTTCAAAGGTACTAATATTTATGTATGTACGCCAATCTACGATGTCCTTAACGAAATAAAACGGATTTGTAACAAGCAATGCAGATTTAAAAGATTCTACCATCTGATTCACAAATAAAGGATCCGAGGCTGCACGATCAGTTGCATGACACAGTAATGTCACTTTCCGGAAGTGTGTCGCAACTGCATGGAAGATTAGAATCTCTTGATCAAGGTTTTGCAAAACATAAACTAGAAATATCAAATGAACTTGGTGAATATTTAAAAGGACTCTGGAAATAAGTGATCAGCAAAATATTCAAAGAGAAGAACTTAAGAATCAAAATGACGAATTGAAAAAGCAAGGTGACGAGCACATAAAACAGAGTCAGGAAATAAAGGAACGTCAAGAAAGACAAGAAAAGCAAAGCGAAGAACTTAAAGAGGAATTAAGAAGGCAAGGTGTGATGAGCATGTAAAAACAGAGCCAGGAAATAAAGAACGTCAGAAAGGCAAGAAAAGCAAAGCGAAGAACTTAAAGAGGAACTACGGAGGCAAGGTGATGAGCATGTAAAACAGAGGCCAGGAAATTAAGCAACGTCAAGAAAGGCAAGAAAAGCAAGGCAAAGAGCTTAAAGAGGAACTAAGGAGGCAAGGTGATGAGCATGTAAAACAGAGCAGGAAGGAATAAAGGAACGTCATGAAAGGCAAGAAGCGAAAAGTGAAGAACTTAAAGAGGAACTAAGAAGGCAAGGTGATGAGCATGTAAAACAGAGCCAGGAAATAAAAGAAGGACAAGAAAGACAAGGCAACGAACTAAAAGATGAATTAAAGCAAATGACACAAATATTGATGCTATTAACTCAACAAAAATCGTAATTCATTGTATGCACTTTTAATAAATAGTTTCAATACAGATTTTCGAAAAGTAAAAAATTGAAATGGATAATATACGTATAAGTTGTTCAAAATATGATATGTAAATAGAATGTATTAAAAGAGAAAAACGTCAAGTTACAACAAAATAGTTATGAAAGGCACATCATGATGACTACAATCGTTAAGAATTTAGCTTTATAGACTTATACGTTATGCAATATGTTAATTATTTATTATTACAAGTATTTTATGAAAAACATGTTATATCTTTTTAAGAAGATAATCGACGTTAAAAAGGAGCTCCACTGAGGTCCAGAAGCCTAACATGAAATAAAATTTGAAATTCTTGCACAGATCAACAGTTTCACTGAAAATGGAAAAAAAATATGCAAGACATATAATTGAGAAATATGCTCAAAATGAATGAAAAATCCATTTTGAGCGGTTTTTGTCTTGTTCTTCATTTTTGGGTCATGATGCGCTATAAAGGTATTATTTAGGAAAAACTGAGTAAGCAAATGATATCAAATCATGCACATAAGTTATTGGTCAAAACATTAATGAAAAGGAACGGTAATCTCGTAAAAATATTTAAAGGTCCTTCTCGTCAATAGAAAACCATCAGTGGAGTTCCTTTTATTCAGTAAATGTCATTACCTTGTAGATTCGGAATATTGTCAAAGTCATTAATGAAATGAATGATTTATTAATGGTAATTTGCTTAACGATCTCAATCTTTAAGGTGAAATATACTAAAAATTATTTAAATATATATTATATATACATGTATATTGTTTAGCTTTTAACTGAATCATAATTTAACCCTTATTGACCGCCTGATGATAAATCTAGGTTACACGTGAGGGAGCTCGCTGGTACATGTATCCAGAGGTTGCATGAAGGTGCAAAACGGCCGAGTGATTTACAATCCTCAATTTTGATATATACTATATAAGTGTGACCTTATTTTTGGATTTAATACTTTACTCTCAATCATGTCTTACTAATTTATGCCAAAATATTTTAAAAACCATCCAGGATTGGCAGAATTGTTGACCGTATACAACCATCAATGCACTTTAATAAAAAAATCTCAGCCTGACTTTTGAGTACAAGTAAGACCTTGACATTTGAGTTAGGGACCTAATTTTTTTGTGCACAACACATTGTCATTGTGCCAAACACATTTATGCAAAATAGTTTTAAATCCGTCTAGGTATGACAGACTTGTTGATCCAACATAAAGATCAGTCTACTTGTATAAAAAATCAAAGCATGATTTTTGATCAGTATGTGTGACATTGGTCTTTTTTGCGCTCTTTACATTGTCATTATGTCCAACACATTTATGCATATCTCTTTACTCCATCCACCAATGACAGAATGGTTGATCAGACACGATTATTCAAATTCCTTTGAAGTCAGAGTATGACTTTAACCTTTTCGCTTAAAGTCTAGATGTTGAACAGCACACATCGCCCAAATGTGCTACACATTTATACAAAATTATTTTAAAATGAATCCATAAATAAAGAAGTTATGGACTGCACACAGTTCAGACGAAAGGACAGCGAGACAGGCGGAAAGACGAATGCTACAAAATTGATATGCCCTCATTTTTGGAGACATATATAAAAAGATGTGACCTACGTACGTTTGTCACAAAATACGTTTACTTTTTAAAGGGAGGATGCATAGGAAAACCGAGTTTGAGAAACTTAAAATGGACATTGCCCTTAGCCAGGAGATGACCTCTATTCATTTTGTGGATATTATGTCAAAAGTCAAGGTCATAGTTATACTGTGTAAAATATCTTTCCAGTCAGTAACTTTAGAAGAAATGAACATTTGTTATGTATAAAAAGGTCATTTCCCCCGTTTGTACGCAGATTTTACATTATGTCAAATACCAAGGTCTCAGCATGATATGAAATCTCTATCTTATCAATTATGAGAGGTTCTTCAGTCATAGGTTTATGATTTGCGTGTTTGTTATAAACGCAGATTTTAAGACAAGAATAAAGATCAATAAGGCTAAGGCAACGTTCACAGGACGCAGCCCCCGACACACCCAAGCAGGGCACCCAGAAGGCACTAAACCAAAACCGGGAGTTGATATAAGGGCGGCGAAAGGAGATGGTCAAGTAATATGTGAAATAAAAAAGAACTAAAACGGGCCCGGATGGGAACCAAAGGGAAATGTGCTGTAAGGGTGAAAAGGGGAGGGGGGTAAAAAATGGAAGGGTGTGTGAGAAAATACCTAGCGTAAATTACAATCCAACAAGGCAGACATCACAAAACATATAAACATTCAAAAACAAGTAACAACACAGACATGAAAAACACGTGAAGGAACGCAGAGGGGTACCGCCTTGGAACGGTCTGTGATAGTTAAACCACTGCATGGGGAGTTTAAACCAGTTTTAGGCGCACCCAAACCTCACTCTTAGTATGTTCCTGAATGACTTGAAAGTGTAAATAAAATAAATTCCCGCCAAGTGAAATTCTAACAATATTTATTGTTACATTAGACAAAATAAATAAAACACATACAAAATTATGTAAATATGTAGAAAAAGGTATAGCCTAATGACCATTACCAAAGTACTCGATGGCTTAAAGGAAGGCAGAGCAACAAGAAAATCACCTACAAGGGCCCAACGAAGCAAGACAGAAGACGAACATTAAGACAATTCAGTCCCAAAAGGCTTTAAGAACTGTTTATCATAGAGTCTCCCACTTAGTCCGTCAGATGTAATCAAAAGAGGAAAGCGTAGCGTCCAACTGTAAAAGGGTTGAACACCAAGCATGCGGTATGCCTTAAAATAATTTGGTCATAACCTATTTTAATAAACCGTTTGATAATTTTAGTGAAGACGGCAGAAAAATTACTATGACCCATGATCTTACGAAGTTTGTATACCACATCTCCATAGAAATAAGGCTTGCTAATACCTTGTCGTAAAAGGGTTTTCAAATTACAATTAAATTTTAAAACTAAATCTGAATTACGATGGTAAAACTTAGTAAAATATTTACGCAATTTATGATAGCGATAACCTTGTTTAAGAAGTTTGTTAGTAATAATAAATTGCGTTCATTAAAATCATCAACACGACGCCCTAGCAAATCTAATTAATTGAGAAATATACACCCCATATGATGTAGAATGAGGTACATCTCTATCTAAATGTGAATAGTTAAAAATATTAACATCAAAACCATCTCTCTATCGTAGATTTTAGTTACGATAGTATTGTTAAGACAGAAATATTTAAATCTTAAAAAGATGTAATAACATTTGAAGAGTTAGTTTTTTTCAATTTAAGTTCACTGAGATATATTTTAGAAGCCAACTGATAGAAATAAGGGTTATTCATGTTAAGGATATCATCTAGGTAGCGGGAAGTGTTGTTAAATGCATGTATAATTTCCTGATGTGAAGTAGGGGAAAGACTTAACATAAAATTTCTCTCTCATGGAGAAAAAGAAATAAATCGGGCTATCAGATGTCCCATTTAGTACCCCTTTGGAAATCCTATTTCTTTTTTGAAATAGATTCCCAAACCTGACATAAATGTTAAAAAAGGGGTTTAAAAACCTTCGTCACAGGCCCCACATTGAAATTTTGTTTAAATCCACGGTAAAGAAAGTCTTTTTTAAATTTGGGGCAAGCAAAAAAACTTTCCCTTTTCTCCTGAAAATTTTTTGGGTTTTTAAAGGGGAAAAATAAATCTTTTATAAATTTTAAATTGGCAATATTTTGGGTTTGGGAAACCCGGAAAGTTTTTACAGACGAAGCTTGGGAAAATTTCAAAATTTTAAAACTTATCTAAAATTTTTCAGTTAAATTTTTTAACAGACCAAAAAAGATTTTTGTCCGTTTTTTTTCAAAACTTTTTTCCAACAGTAACTAATGACATGTGCCTTGATGGCAGTAAGGCAAGAAGTCAATAAAATAGAAAGATTACTGGAAGTACAAGATGTAGAATTAACAATGAAGCGAGCTTTATACGGGTGTTTATGTAATTTTTGGAATCCAGTACATGATAGGAAGTTTAAACTCTTTCTCATCAACACGTACTTTAAAGTTAGAAATACTAGAAATATGACTGTTCACAATATCTCTTTCAGAAAGAACGGTTTTAGAATAAGCATTAGTACATTTTAACACAGTTTATAAATCGGCAGCAGTCCACCTTAACATCATTCCTAGATAACTAACAACCAATAACCGATTTTTCCGCTGTGATTGACCTATAATCTTACGTAAATACTGAATTGGCAGCGAGAAACAAATGCACTAAAGAATATGTGTTCAAGATCAATTGCCACAGAAAAAACTGCACCGCCCATGGATCGAACCAGCGATGTTTATGAAATTTGTGAGACTTATATAAATTTATCTACAATACTTATGAATAAAACAACCTTGCGGAATACTCGTAAGTATATAAATATGTCCCTGTGAAGGCAAATAAAGTGAGAACATATATGTCCTATGAAAATCAGTATGTGGTTTTAAAATGTATATTTTATTGTTTGTTACTAGATGGTTTAGCAACAAACAAGTGATTCCATCAAAAAAGCAATAAGTGACCTTAATCCTAATGCATTACCTCCGCTTTGAAGAGTATTCAAATAGGATAGAACTACTGTTAACTACATTGAAAATGAGGGCCGTGGGTTTAATCCCCAGAAGAGTCAACTTTTTTTTTCTTTCTTTTTTTTCTTTTAACATTATTTATGTATCTCTCATGTCCCATTCTGAAAGAAAAAAGTGTTTAATTTTGA